TGGAGTGTTTGGTAAATAATTGTTAGTTGATAGTTGTTAGTTGATTGAGTTAGTAGGTTTAACTAGTTGATAGCGTTAGTTGATTGTAAAAAAATATTTTATAAATTAACGATTAGCTAATAGCTGATTACATTCAAATGACTTTCTCAAAAAAAGTTAATTGAAAAAATTATTAGAATAACTAATTAATTAAATACTCATATTGTTTGTTTAACCAAATTAAACACTTAATAATGATTGATAGTAATTATAGTATCTAATAGAGCCAATATCTATTTACAGGGCGTTTGGTTGGAGGGATTTTAAATTCCTTTCCCACTTAATTCTCACATAATTCCAAAGGCCATTAAATTCCGTAATTTTGTTGGAGGGAATTGCAATTCCATGGAATTGCAATTCCCCCATTTTCATAGAATTAAAATCCCATGTCCCCCCTGGGATTTTAATTCCTGAGAAAAAAAGATAGTGATGAGTCAAAATTATCCCTTTCTTTTTTAACCTAAAATTAATATCTAACAACAATAATGAACATTTTTTACTTTATGCTACTTATTCCCTTTCAATTCTCATGTATACCAAACATTGGAATTGAAATTTCCAACAATTCTATTCCTGTCAACCAAACACTGAAATTTAAATTCTCACTTTAATCCCAGTAATTCAACTCCCATAGAATTACAATTCCTTTCCCACATAATTCCCTCCTCCAACAAAACGCCCTGTTAATTTATATTGAGACTTTGAAGGCAAAAATTGTAAAGACTTTGTTTTGAAGTTACATCAACCCCAATGCCTTTAATTAAATGCTGCCGCCCAAAATTAATTTTAATTTAAAATGTTTATGAAAAACTCTGTACCAGAAGGGACATTATTCCCAAGCATAGACGCATATATAGTAACTTGAACCATAGTTATAGCTTTTAATAGCCATTAATGTTGGTTATAGCTTTTAATAGCCATTAATGTTGGCGACTGTAGAGGAGTTGTTCTTCTCTGATCTTCTAATGCTGATCTTAAGAAATAAACAAATTAAGGGTGTGTTTAGTCGACAGGTTTAGCTCTAAAGAATGGGTATCAAAGTAATTGGTATTGTTTGGTTGATAGGTTTTCAAAACACTACTATAGGTTTCAAATACCCTCTTAATTGAGAAACACATACGGTCATACCCAAATAAAATAAGGATATCATCCCTTTTCATTCCTTTATTTCTTCTCATCCCCTTTGATTAGTGCTTTTAGATTTTTGTTTTTATTTTTTTGTTCATATTAGTGTTTTGGATATCTTTATATTAGAATCAATTATCTTAATTTTGTGTTCTTGTATTTTTAAAATCTTTATTCCCATTATTGGATCATACATAACCAAATAGCATTATTGATAATTATTCTCAGTGGCGGAGCCACAATAGGGGCAGTGGGGGCTGCTGCCCCCACTCACCCACCCAATATATAGTATATATACCAAACATTAACCAAAAGTTGCTTTGGTTTAGATGGCAAAACCATTGGTATAATACATAAATGTCCAGAGTTCGAAACCTGTAATGTTGAATTTGTTCTTTCAATTTTTAAATAGGAATACTAATTTGATATTATTATTATTATTATTATTTTTTAACATTGAGGTTTTTTTTTTCTTTCATTTTTTAATATTATTAGTGAGATGAGTAAACTTTTGTTTTTGACATTTTTTTATTTTAATATTAATAGTGATAATTCTAATTGGATTTTTTATTTGTAACATTGTGATTTCTTCTCTTTTTTCTTTTTTAATATTAATAGTTTGATGAGTGATTTATACTGTGTTTTTCATTCAAACTATTTTATCTAATTAATTATGTTTTATATTTTATTTTAAATATTTTTTTTTATCTTGATGTATTTTGATTTTTCATCTCTAGTCAACAATATTTATGATTTGGTTTCCAAGTGTTTCATTTTTTTAAAAATATCGCGCTCGTTAGTTCTAATATTTTGCCCCCACTGAAGAATATTTCTGGATCTGCCACTGATTATTCTCATTCCACCCTACTACCAAACATGCAAAATACTTTCACTAAAACCCATTACCATTACCAAGTATTTGATACCCATTTCGATTCCGATTCCCATGTGCGAACCAAACACACCCTATAATAGTTATTCATACGGAAATTAAATCTGTGGAACGGTAGAGGATGAGCAAATTTTCAAATGGGTAGAATGAAGTTGTTCTTGAAGATGCGAGAGCTCAAAGCATGAAGTTGATGGGCGAAATGGTGAAGAATGGCAAAATGTTGTCTGAAACGGATTGAATGGCCTTTTATACTTGGGCTATTTTTTTGGGGCTGAAATGGACTAATCTTGGTCTCCATATATATATGGGCTGATCATACATCCCAATTTCATTTCATTATCGTGTTGTGCTTTATTATTATTATTATTATTATTATTAGGGATAATGGTCAAATAGACCCTCATACTATATAGCAAAGTGCAATTAGGCCCTCGAAGTAAAAGAACATCCAATTAGACCCTTGAATTTATTAAAACAATGCAATTAATATATTTAATGGGTTGCTAAAAGGTAACCGGTTAAATTCAATAAAAAAAATAAAAATACAAATACAAATTTACAGGAAGTCGAAGCAGTGAAGGCTGTGAAGCCGCATGTTTCCCAGCTTGCTTAATCCATTATTAATCATAACCATCATTTACCTCCTTAATCCATTTTCATTACTTCCACAATTTTGCTTTTGTCAGCCAAGCATCATCATCGTCAAGAACAACTCATCATCGGCACATCACCATCCATCTTCTTCAAAATACGTTGCTGCTCATCCGACCTTGCTACCATCGCCGGAACTTCACCATCACCACCAACAGCTGGTCTAACACCATTGCCAAGGTTGCCGGTCAAGGTCGACGGGAAGGGGAGGTCGCCGAGAAACACATCATGTTTCGCCAAAATAGATTGTTCACCGGAGTTGTTGGTTTCGTATAGTACGAGGTCCAGACGTCGCCGATCTACTACACGTCGGAGGGGAAGTTACTACCGCTGGTCTGCCGCTGCTAGAGGGAGTGAAAACAAGAGGAAGTCGCCGGTGGCCTCTGCTCGCCGGAAAAACAGAGGTCGCCGGAAAGAGCCTCGCCACCTGCTGCAGGCTGCAATGACTTTTCTGTTTGCTTGTTTCCTTGTTTTATTAAAATTATTTTATTTTTTAAAAATAAATTTAAAAATATTGATTCAAGTGATGTAGCATCTTGTAGGTAACTTGAAGATAACTTGTTATTATAGGTTAAATGGATTAATTGCATTGTTTTAATTAAGGAATAAGGGTCAAATAGGCCATCGAACTGCACACGATAAAACAATTAGGCCATTGAACTTAAAAAACTAACAATTAGGTCCCTAAACTAATCAATTTCAAACAATTCTTCCAATTTGAAAGTTTCCAACAGGTTAACAGGTCATCTCCCAAATTAATTATTTTAAAAAAAAAAATTTTAAAATTAATTATTTATAAATTAAATATAAATATTAAAAAAAAAAAAAACAAAAAAAAAAACTGGAATCCAGCCGGAGACAACCGTCTCCGGCTGGAACCAGTTTTTTTTTTTTTTTTTTTTTAAATTTAAATAATTAATTTTTAAAATTTAAATTTTAAAAAATAATTAATTTGGAAGGATGACCTGTTGACCTGTTGGAAACCTTCAAATTGGAAGAATTGTTTGAAATTGATTAGTTTAGGGACCCAATTGTTGGTTTTTTAAGTTCAGTGGTCTAATTGTTTTATTGTGTGCAGTTTGATGGCCTATTTGACCCTTATTCCTTGTTTTAATAAGTTCAAGGGTCTAATTGGATGTTTTTTTAGTTGGAGGACTCAATTGCACTTTATTATATAGTATGAGGGTCTATTTGACCCTTATCCATTATTATTATTATTATTATTATTATTATTATTATTATTATTATTATTATTATTATTATTATTATTATTATTATCTAAATATATGAATATTTATATGCATTATATAATATTATTATCATATTTATACATTTCAAGTTAATACTTTTTGTATTATTATTATTATAATAATAATAATAATAATAATAATAATAATAATAATATATTATATTACATAATTACAATTATATTATTTAAAATATAGTAAATCATGTTTTTAATGATAATATTTTTATGTATATAATTAGATCTACTAATTATATAAATTTGTTCGATAAATAGTTGGTAAAAGTATAAAATAAATTAGCACAATACTTTTTAATATATATCAAAAAATAAATTTGCATAATACTTATACTTATATTAAATATAGAATCTTGTGATCTAATAATACCAAGTTGAACAAGTCTCAGTGGAAGCACTAACCTTCAGTAAGCACTGCATATATGTATATAATATTATAATATTTTATTAATTTTTCATTGTTTTGCATTTAGATGTCAATTTTTAAATTAAATTATTTTTATATAAAATTATATTTTTAATATATAAATTTCAAATTTAAAAAAAAAATTGTTCCATATAAAATTTCACCATCAATTTTTAAATTAAATTATTCAACTTATATAAAATTATATTTTTAATATATAAATTTCAAATTAAAAAAAAAAATATTGTTCCATATAAAATTTCACCATAATATTACTAATATTACTAATATTGCCATACTAGTTTGATTGAAAGTTGAAAAGCAATATTTTAGTGTGTTGTCAGAAAATTCTATAATTTTTCTATTTATCTCATTTTAAAAAACTTAAACACAACTCTATTACAATGTTTTAATAATTTTGAGAATGTCATAATTTATCCTAAAGCAAATATATCTAAAAAAAAATATTGTAAATATCAAGTTAAAAAAAAAAAAAAAAAAAAAAAAACAAACAAACAAACATGTTTGCTAAAAAACAGTGAACCTCGAATGTTAAACACCCAACCAAACCTTTGTTGTTAAGGATTTATACTATGAAGATGACACAAAAAGTAGTAAAGATCAATCAATATAATTCATCATGGAAGCCAATTGAAAACTAAAAACAGAGTTAAAATTACAGATGATAAAAAGCAGCAACAAAACGAACTTAAATATATGTTCGAATATAACTAACAACCTGACAACCTAACTAACTATATAAGTCATCTTCATCAGCTCCACCGGCTGAAGTTGCAAAAGGATCAGATCCAGTGGCAGCTCCTCCCCCTGTGCTGGCCTCTGAGAATCGGAATTCAGAACCGAAACCTCGGGACTGCTGCAGGGTTTGTGCAAATGCCTGGTACTTCCTGATATCAGCATCGCTCACGCTCCTGCGAGCGTACTTCATTGATTCTTCAAAATGAGCAGCCTTGATCTCGGCTACCTCATCTTCAACGTCCTCCTCCATGGCCTCGGGGTTCTCCCTCCTCTTCTTTTCCCTCTCGATATCCTGGAAAAAACACAATAAACCAGTTCATGTTTCATTGTTCATGTTTTTATTTTCCTTTTCTTGAACTAAGAAACAAAAGTCAAACCTTTTCAATGTTCTCTCTGATGGCATATTTGCAAGAGCGCTGGCAGATTTCTGTGATGTCGGCCCCGCTGAAGCCTTGAGTGTATTTGGCAAGAGCTCTGAGGTCTACGTCCTTGGAAACGGGAGACTTCCTCAGGCACGCCTTGAAAATTTGATGGCGGGAGTCTTCGTCAGGAAGAGGAATGTAAATCAATTGGTCAAGACGGCCAGGACGCAGAAGAGCAGGATCAATTATGTCTGGCCTGTTTGTAGCCCCAATAATGAAAACTGTCTTCTTAGCATTCATTCCATCCATTTCTGTGAGGAGTTGATTTAAGACCCTATCAGCAGCCCCACCGGCATCTCCTACCGAACTTCCTCTCTGCAAGGGGGGACGATGGAAATAAGACAAAATGACGCATTGCAACTAAACTAAAGGGGTCAAGAACAACACCCACCTGTGTAGCAATTGAATCCAATTCATCAAAGAATAGGACGCAAGGAGCAGATTGGCGAGCCTTGTCAAATATCTCTCTAACATTGGCCTCACTCTCCCCGAACCACATTGTAAGCAACTCTGGGCCTTTGACACTGATGAAATTTGCTTGGCATTCATTGGCAATAGCCTTGGCCAACAAAGTCTTACCACATCCAGGCGGGCCGTAGAAAAGAACTCCCTTCGACGGAGACATTCCAAACTTCTCAAACTTCTCGGGATGCTCCACTGGATATTGTACAGTCTACACAACACAAGTGTGGATTTAATTTAAATCAGCATCAAATGAAATCTAAAAGACACTGATTGCCATGATACAAAAATGTGCTAGTAAAAGCTAAGATAGCTTACCTCTTGGAGCTCCCGCTTGACATTTTCTAGGCCACCAATATCTTCCCAGGAGACATTAGGAACTTCAACAACCTAGGTTAACGAAACAAACATTATTAAACTGCATTGCACAAGTGAACAGCATCCAGAAACAAAGATGTGTGTGACTTACAGTTTCACGCAATGCAGAAGGATTGCTCGTTCCAAGAGCAGTTTGGAAGTGCTCATTGGTAACAGCCATTGAGTTGAGTATTTCTGCATCGATGGTTTCATCTTCCAAATCAATAACATCCATCTTCTCTCTAATGCACTGAAGAGCAGACTCAGTACACAATGCTGCTAAATCAGCGCCAACATAACCATGAGTATCCTTGGCAATCTTTTCCAAATCAACCTGCAAAAGCACAACCCAAATGTTGAATATCATCATAACAAAAAATCAAAAATATAAAAAGGCTTGAGATTTTGACATAATAAATTCAAAGAAATATGAATTTACATCTTCAGCAAGCTTCATGTTCTTGGTATGTATCCGAAGAACCTCAAGACGCCCAACTTCATCAGGAACGCCAATGTCTATTTCCCTGTCAAATCTTCCAAACCTCCTTAGTGCGGGATCAATACTATTGGGACGATTCGTGGCACCCATGACAATGACATGTGCACGAGATTTCAGTCCATCCATAAGTGTCAGTAGCTGTGAAACAATCCTCCTCTCAACTTCTCCATTTGTCTTCTCTCGTTTGGGAGCAATTGAATCAATCTCATCAATGAAGATGATTGATGGTGCATTCTTCTCAGCTTCCTCAAACGCTTTCCTAAGATTGCTTTCACTTTCTCCTGCCAATTTCGACATAATTTCTGGTCCATTAATGCAGAAGAAGAAAGCACCAGTTTCATTTGCAACCGCCCTCGCTATTAAAGTCTTCCCTGAACCAGGAGGTCCATATAGAAGGATTCCTTTTGGAGGCTTAACACCAATTGATTTGAAGAGCTGCGGATGCCTTAGGGGAAGCTCAACAAGCTCCCTGATCTGAGCCATCTGTTTACGAACACCACCGACATCATCATATCCAACCTCATCCAACCGATCCTCATCTTCCCTTCTCACAGGTTCGCCCTCACAGAAGATTTCAGTATCAGGGGCAACAACACAGTACTCGCCAGGGTCAGTCTCAATAACCTTAAACTCAACACTTCTCATTCCACCTCTCACAAGAAAGAAGTCGCCCTTCCTCACTGGTCGGTATGATTCAAGGAAATATGCTGCACAGGAAAAGTAAAACTCAGCAACCAATTGCAAAGAATCAAATGGAAGAAATTGCATATTATATTAATAACTAATAGTAGTGTAACTGTGGAATAAAGCATAAAAGCCATTAATAATTAGAAGTTCGATGCCAAAGGGGGCTTACGTTTCAAGTAAGCATCAAAGAGATTTCCAGTAACTCCTTCAATGGTGTCATCCACAGGAAGAATGTGAACACGTTTGCCATACTTGACATCAGGACACTGGTGGACGGAAACAACATCTCCAAGCCTCACTCTGAGGTTGTTCCTAACAACCTTGTTCATCCTAATCTTAGGTTCTTCACATGTGTCATCAGCAAGAGCAATGCAGACTGTATCCTTTCTTTTCTTACCCTGTACACAGTATATATATGTGTGTTAAAAAAATCAAAGAATTGAATCCTATAACAATTTCAACCACCAGCATGGGAGGGCATATTTTAATAAGAATTAGTCAGCCGTTACTTCAAAATTTGCACATTGTACAGAAATCCTGACAACCTTTTAACAGATTTACAATATAATCCACACACATTCAGTTAAGGTGCAACATTATATGCTCAAACTAAGCTAGAATTCATCACAAGACTATATTAAACTCAACTCATGAAAACAAACATCAGAATTTTTCTATATAGCTAATCAATCATCCAGACATAGAACCCTAGAGAACTAAACAGGTATACAAAATAATGCAATCTTATCTCCTTACAGCAATAAAGCACAAATGCCAATAGATCCAAAAACCCCAATTCAAGTTTCTCTCTAAAAGAACAAAATCCCAACTTTTTTTCCGAACCAAAAAACCCTAAATTCTCAAAATTACATAACTCACTCCAAATTCGAACCAAGATTCAACCCCAAATCAAGCATAAACAAATTAAATTCAAAGAACCAATCGCCAATTTCCAATAACTCATAGATTCGGGGAAAAAAAAAACACAAACCTTGATCATGATAGTATCACCACGGAAGAGCTGGAGCTTCTCCATAGTGTTGGGGTGAAGAGACACTACAGAGTTGTCATCATTGATCGCCTCATCCACAACCAACCGGTTGGGCGCCTTCTTCCTCTCAAGAATCGCCGTACTGTAATCCCTCTTCGTCCCCTTCCTACACAAAACCCCACCAACAAGCCAAAATCAAGAACCGCAAAAACAACAACTACCCATTCATCCACAAACGTAAAAACATGTAAATACATTAAGATCTGTAAAGAACACTTACGAGTCAGATGATTCCGCTTGGTTACTCATGATGCTCTGTAGTCTTTATCGGGTCGCAGAGATTTTTCGCTCTTGTAAAAGGTTTGCTTCGATTTAGGGAGTACGAGAGATCTGAGTCGTGGAGAATTTATAAAGTTATGGAACTCTGTTTCTTGTTGGGAAAGAAATTATTTTTATTTTTTATTTTTTTTTTTCCTTTTCCTATTGGAATAAGATCATTATTTTTATTTTTTTATTTTTTTCCTTTTCCTATTGGAATAATATCAATATTTGTAACGTCGGTTTGAAATTACAGCTCAAATAGCTCAAAACCAATCAATTATTGCCATGCAAACAAACTTTTACAATTGGCCAGATATTATTGGCTCAAATATTGCCATGTAAACAAAGTTTTAACAATTTTTTTCAATTTTTTTTTATAGTACTACGTAGCCATGAAGAATAAATCCTTTGTAACCTTAGTTGGTAAAGAATCACAAAGATTCCCACGGCCCACACTTGAACTCAATTTTGTGACTTTTTTTTGGAATGATAATAATGATGTTATCAAACCACAAAGTACTTGACGAGAGAGTAAACCAATCTAAATTAGCTTGTAGTTACTCGTTACTAAGCTGTCTAGCCAATTTGCCTATGAATTACCCTCAATAAGCAATAAATAAATCACTATAATTGACAAATAGAAAAATGTTGAAAATTCTGAATGTATTTTTTTTTAATATCTACTATCCACTATACTAATAAGAGCCCAAGAACGTTAAGCCTATAATGGATAGAAAAATGACGGACAAATTTTTTAATCAAATGAATGGCTTAGATTGATCAGATTTTAATTTTTCCTTTAAGATTTTTTAATTTATCCTTAATAATGGATATGATTATCTGTTAACTTTCTGTTAATTTATGTTAGTTCACTGTTAACTTACTCATTGATTTCAATAAGAAAAATTTTAGGTTCGAACCACATCCCAATCAAAGTTGGCATAATTAGTACTCTATTTTACTCTTATTAAATTATAAATAAATAATAATTTAGTACTACCAAAAAAAATACATATGTATTTCTTTAATTTAGGATTATGTGTCTACAATGTTTTTATTCTAAAAAAAATTATCATTATCAATAAATTAAATAAGAGAAATAATTTAATTAGTTATATTATTTTTGTTTTTATTGATTATATTCACTACATTATCTTTACAATGTCTTTATTAAAAAAAAATTCATTATCAATAAATTAATTAAGAGAAATAATTTTATTAGTTATATTGTCAAATTAATTTTAAGTGAAAATTTTGAATAAATTCGTAAATATCTTGAAGAGGTTTATTTCAAAAAAAAAAAAAATGTAGAAGAGGCTTAATGTGTTCAAAATTTAAAATTATACCTTTTTTTGGTATAATTCCTAGTGACAAGTTCTAGAATATTCCATAACAAATTACAATTACCAATTTATTGTTAATTCCACGTTTTTACAGGGCGTTTGGTTGGAGGGAGGGAATTATGTGGGAAAAGAATTGTAATTCCATTGGAGTTGAATTACTGGGAATAAAGTGGGAATTTAAATTCCAGTGTTTGGTTGACAGGAATAAAATTACTGGGAATTTCAATTCCAATGTTAGGTATACATGGGAATTGAAAGGGAATAAGTAGTATAAAGTCAAAAATGTCCATTATTGTTGTTAGACATTAATTTTAGGTTAAAAAAGGAAGGGCTAATTTTGACTCATCACTATCTTTTTTTCCCAGGAATTAAAATACCAGGGGGGGGGGGGGGGGGGGGGGGCCTGGGATTTTAATTCCATGAAAATGGGGAAATTGCAATTCCCTCCAACCAAACTACGGAATTTAATGGTCTTTGAAATTATGTGGGAATTAAGTGGGAAGGGAATTTAAAATCCCTCCAACCAAACACCCTGTTATTTGTTGGTCAAACATAGAGTTCTACCTTTTTATTTATAACTAATAGTGTAACTATTATGCACTTTGGTTGGATGCAGTTATAATTCAGCATAATCTTTTAGCCACTTGAATTAAAATATGTGATTGGAAAGAATTACAATTTTTTCATTTTGTTGAATTGCAATTCATACCCTCTTTGAATTGCAATTTAATGGAAAAAAAAAAAAGAAAAAAAAAAGAGGAAAAAATGATATTTTTACACTTGATTATTATTAATATTATTAGTATGTAAGAAGGAAAAATGTCACTTTTTCTCGCTGAATTATATGTTTATAGCACATTTTTTCTCTGAATTATTCATGTAAGCACATTAGTCACCTCAATTATTCTAAAAGTGGTAGTTTTTCCCCCCTGATATATTAAATAGACATTTCTACCCTTAAAGTAAACATTCTATTTATTTTTGAAATAAGGGTCAAATAGGTCACTCAACTGCACACCAAAGTGCAATTAGGCCATTGAACTCAAAAAGAATGCAATTAAGCCATTGAACAACACAAAAACATGCAATTTAGCCCAAAATGACTTGTTTACCTAGAGTAGCAAATTACCAATTTCAAAATTAATTTTTTAAAATAATTTTTAATAAATAAATAATTAAATTATTATTAAAAAAAAAAAAAAAAAAAAAAAAAAAAACAAACAAACAGAAACTTCCGGCCGAAGACAAATCGTCTCCGGCCACCTACGTCTCCGTGGCTCCGTCTCCAGCCATGGAGACAAAGACCTTCGTCTCCATGGCCAGGGAGACGAAGGACGTCGTCTCCATGGCCGGAGACGAATTCGTCTCCATAGCCATGGAGATGAAGGTCCCTTCGTCTCCATGGCTGGAGACGGATGTTCGTCTCCGTCCATGGAGACAAAGCCGGCCTGAGACGATTCGTTTCCGGCTGCAGTTTCTGTTTTTTTTTTTTTTTAATATTTTAATTATTTATTTATTAAAAGTTATTTTAAAAAATTAATTTTGAAATTGGTAACTTGCTACTCTAGGTAAACAAGTCATTTTGGGTTAAATTGCATGTTTTTGTGTTGTTCAATGGCTTAATTGCATTCTTTTTGAGTTCAATGGCCTAATTACACTTTGGTGTGCAGTTGAGTGGCCTATTTGACCCTTATTCCTTTATTTTTCTTCTCCAACAAATTTTTGCTTATACATAGGGATGACCACGGTTCGGTTCGAACTAAACTGGACAGTATAACAATCGAATTAAAAGTTTTTTGTTATGATTCAAATCCAGAACTCACTATTTGGATTTCAGTTTATTAAAAATATGAATCGAAAAAATTGGATCCTGAACCGTGAACGGCGGCGTTTTCGGATCCAATTCGCGATTTTGAACCGTCTTTATTTTAAAATTTTATTTTTTATTTTTAAAATAGTCTAAATTTAATAATAAATGTATTTTATTTTTTTTTAAAATATGAATCGGCCATTCCGATTCGCGGTTTTAATAAGCTCTAAATATCTGGTTTTGATTCTAAATTGTAACTGGAATATTTCGATTTGGTTGCTATAGTGTTTTGAACCAAATCGTGATCATAATTTGTTGGAAAAGAAAAATAAATGAAATATTTATTTTAAAGATAAATATGTCCATTTAACATTTCAGAGGAAAAAACAGCCACTTAAATAATTCAGGGGAAAAAGTGCTATAAGTATATAACTCAGCGGAAAAAAGTGTTATTTTTCCATGTAAGAATGTAAGAATATTTTAATTTTTATATCACCTCTTCCCTTCTCATTTACAATAATTCTATTCCTATATGCCAAACAATGTCATTTGAATTTCTACTTTATTCTTTTCTTTTCCGTCCTTTTGCCAACCTTTTGCCAAACACAAATGGTGGTACCCAACTGCTCCTTTCTTTGGTTGGGCGTAATTTAGCTGTAGTTGAATTGCAATTCAGTGGAAGCCACAATTACGCCGTTTGGTTGGAGGGGTGGTTGTGGGAAAAGGAAAAAAGGGATGAAATGACAAAAATACCCTTAATTATTAATACTATTATTATTACACAAGGACATTTTAGTCTTTATATCACTTTTTTCATTCCCTTCCCAATAATTATATTCATCCCTACCAAACAATGTAATTTGAATTCATACTTTATTCACACCTTATTCTTTTCCCACCGAATTACAATTCCTTTCCACTCTAATTCCTTACTCCCAACCAAACGCCCTTACGTTTTGATATGAGTTAATGAATTTTCGATATTTACTTTAAAAAGAAAAAGAGAATAATCTCAAAAACCGCAATATTTCATTTTAAAAGTCTCACACTTGTACTATCAAAGTATCAAACTCTTGATTGTTTAATCGAAACAAAATATTGTAAAACTTCTGGCTGTGTAATGAATAATTTGTAGGTTGAAAGATCAAAGATGTATATACATTGTTCAAAAGTTGAAATTATTAGATCTGAGATGAATTGCATACTTAACAATGTGCAAATGCAACATCTTTAAGCAATGTATCTAAGACAGTAAGACACACTTTCTGCATCCACCTTTGCTTGATGGCTACTTATTCTGACCCACTTTTTGGCACTTCCATTATCTTCATGGAATCCATAACTTTCAAAAATTAGGGAAAAAAAAAAAAACGGAAAGAGAAACCACAGTCACAATCTTATCCATTAATAAACAACAGATCTAGATGTTCTTTGTAACTAGTAGTGCTTTGATTTGGGCGTTTCCCGTCCTGATGATCTAAAAAAAAATATACTAAGAATGGGGCAAAAACCGCACCCAAGGAGCTGCTAACCCATCTATCTGCAACATCAAGGTGCAGAATGAGGAATAGAAGAAGCAATGGTTAACATTATTACAGCCCGAATAATAACACGAAAGGGGGTTGGAGAGTGAAGAAACGAACACGTAGGGATCAGCTAATCTAATGTATTAGGGGAATGCACTCGTGAAAAATATAGTGAGAGTGTGCGATGAAATCTTTCAAAGGAAAGAGCTAAACGAAGTACATTGAAGTGAAGCATGATCAGCATATGCATTTGAGGGGAACAATTGTGTACTTCCTAGTTCCTACTGATATTATTTAGCAGAATCGGCAGCCTCTGCTGTTTTGGCTTCTGTTGGGCACTGCGATACGTATGGCTTTAGCTGCAAATCAAAAGCGTGTCAATTTGCAAATCAAATACGTATGGTTTGCTGAGATGATTTTGCAACATCTTTCTTGAAGCATGGTTTTTGCACTATTAAAGCAAAAATTATAAAGTGGAGCGGAGCTTTAATGGTGCCATGAAGTAGATTCCACTATGGAAAATGATATTTCATGAGTTTATGATGAGAGTTGCTGATTTTAGATGGTCTACATAAGGGAAGCAGACAGAAGCAGGTCTGATGATATCTGCTGTGCTAGCTCTTGAAAGAATAAAAGAGCTGTAAGGGAGAAGAAAGCTGAACTTTGAGGCTAATCTCTGAAGATGATTCTGAAGAGATAAGAAGCTGCAAATCTGGTTAAAGAAGGTGAGATTAGCTGCAGATTATGAACAAAACTACAGCTTTGGTGATTGATTTTGTTGAAGCTAATCAGTGAGAAGAGCCAATCGTTATGCTATGGACCCGTGTTCACCATGCATGCTGGACACAGTAACGGTGCCGTTAGGCACCACCGTTCTTTTCCACTTTTTTTTTTTTTTTTTTTTTTTAATTTTCAGACTACTATGTTATATGACTATATGTTCATAATTTTATCACTATATATTCATAATTGTAAGTTCATAATGTCAGAACTCTGTGTTCATAATTGCATAACTGTACATTCATAATTGCATAACTGTACATTCATAATTCCGTAACTGTACATTCATAATTCAATAACTGTAAATTCATAATTTCCGAAACTCTATGTTCACAATTTTAGAGCTCTATGTTCATAATTTTATCACTATATGTTCATAATTGTAAGCTCATAATGTCAGAGCTCTGTGTTCATAATTCCATAACTTACATTCATAATTCCATAACTGTACATTCATAATTCCATAACTGTACATTTATAATGTCACAAACAAATAACGCCGTAAACGGCGAGACAAAATCAAATTTATTTTTTAACTAAAAGGCTGTATTTTCCCTTAAAATGACATTGTTTTAGACTCGTATCCACAATGCATTGTGGTCTCATGGCCTGTTGAGTTGAAGCAATAATGAAGCCTCTGGTAAAGTAGATTGTATGGAATGCAGCTGAAGAATTGCTGACTGCAATTCATTTGAAGGCCGTTTGATGATGTTGAAAAGTTGCTCTATGAAGCTTGGGCCGGTTAATTGTTGATGCCGAATGGGCTCATTCCCAACTGGGCTTTGAGATATGTCAAGTGGCCTTAATTGGCCAAATGGGCCTATGTGTTTGGTTGAGACCAAAGGGGCAAATTATATTATCCACCGCGGTGCATAATCGATTATGCACCGCGCGTCTTTTTTTAAAATGAAAATTAACAGTGTTTGTTTTCGCCGCACCCTTTTGCAAAATGTAACTCTGTTATTCAGTGTCATTTTGTATACACTACAGTTTCAGTTGAACACAACTACAGTTTCATTTCGATATAACTATAGTTTCATTCGATATTTATAGACTCAAATATGTGAAAATGTTATTTAATTTTATTTTATATACACTATAATTTCATTAAAACACAACTACATGATCATTTTGATATAATTACAGCTTCATTGTACAATATACACTCAAATATGTGAAATGTTATTCAGTTTCAGTTTATATACACTGCAGTTTCATTTTACTATAACTACAGTATCATTTTGATATAACTGCAGTGTCGGTTTGGATATACTGTAGTGTCAGTTAGTGTTTAATACACCAAACAAGCGGACTCTGTTAACTCTAACGGCGGACCGTTTCTTTACTTAAAGAAACGACGTCGTTTTTGACCGCGGTGCACGTGCACCGCGGTCTATAATATAACGACTGGACCAAAGGGGCAAATTATGCCCTGGAAACGTGTTCACCATTCATGGTGAACACAGATCCAAACGGTGCCGTATTTACGAGAATTTTTTTTTTTTTTTTTGCTAATGTTGTTTTAACAGGGCGCGTTTGGTCAGATTATGAATTTTTTGTTATGAGATTATGAATGTACTGTAAATTCATAATCTCATAACAGAAAATTCATAATCGCATAAAAGAAAAACATTTATAAATTATGAATTTTATAATTTCATAAATGTGCATAGAATAGCATTATTCATGACCACCCGCAGAAACCCATTATTTACTAGAACAAAAAAAAAAAAAAAAAACCATTCAAGTAGGGAAATCCATCCCATGTAATTAATATCTGAAATGGTGAAATGTAAATTATCCAGATAGTTTAATACCTACAAACATTACCTAATCCATCTCAGAATTTTACACCTACTGCCCCGCCCCAAACTTTGTGTTAATATCACCACAAATGCTTACAACCACCCTATATAACTTGATAAAATCATCCTAGAACCAATAGGGAAACAATCCACATTGCTGTGAGATGTCTACTTCTCATATATCTATCAATCCACAAAAAGGCAATCACGGGATACTAATTTTTCTATCTTCTCAGTTCTCTCCAACATGGAAAATGTAACATGAGCACCAGTATTTGAACTTCACATCCATGGTTGATCATTTCTTTTGATACAAAATTAAACATGTATATGATATCGGAGTATAACATTATCCTTGACCACCAGATAGGTTGTTCGCTATGACCACTAGAGACCCATTATTTAGTAGAACAAAAAATAGATTTCAGTAGGGAGATCCATCACACAAAATTGATATCTGAAATATGCATTATCCAGTTAGTTTTAACACCTACAAACATTACCTCGTCTAGCTTTGAATTTTACCCCCAATGTAAATAGCACCATAGGTATTACAACCACTCTAAAATCTAAATAAACTCGGGGGAAAAAAAAAATTCCACATTCATGTGAGATGTCTAGAAGTGGCTACAATTCAGCGAGGAGATTAGTCACTATGTCCGACGGGAGAAACCCTGGGACACCCAAAAAATACATATATCAATCAATCCAAAAATAGCAATCAACAGATGCCAATCGTTGTCTATCCTCTCTCTAAGGAGAATGTAAGCAGTAAGCATAGTGAAACAAGTAGAACCAAGAGAGTGTTAAAATTCTCCCTCTGTCAGGGTTCTATTCGGATTAATATTGCACTACTTTAACATGTTTTTCTTTTTAAGATATAGCTAAATAGAAGAGTGCTGAACTAAAACTGCAAGATTCAATATTCTAAAGCAGCACTGCCAACTATGCACATAAATTAGTAATCTGAAATCTCTTTTAGAAGCAAGTTTTTTTTATTAAGTACCTTGAAACCGGTTAAATCTGGAACCACATAATTAGGAAGCTTTTCTGGAACCACGACATAACCACCTGCATCACCACCACCCAATGGAGTTCACAATCAACTAAATTGCTGAGTTATAATAACCCAAATAACATAATTTAATCTTCCTCAAGGAATGCACATTATCAACTTCGGAACCTCAAAATTGGGATTTCGTATTCATATAGGTCCAAAACTTTTGGGAACAAAGGAGATTAAAAAAAATCGAATATTCTAGTTCAATCTGCGCTCAAGACGATCATCAAGAAAGGATTTTTAACAGACAAAAATGAAGTAAAGAGAAAATTGAAAACCTTTGCGAGTGTGGAAGCCCGTGGGTATGCAATTCTTGCCCTTGTAGAAACCCCTCGGACCACCTTTTGAAGTGAGAATTTCGAGAGAAGATGTTCGCTTTCTTCCGAATGATGACCTTGCAAGTCCAAGCAATAGCCCCAGCACCATTTTCTTCTTCTTGTTACCCGAAGAACCAGCGTAGGAATCTGCAAAACCAACGATAATTTTCTAATTGAAGAAAAGGGTTTAACGATTAAGTATTAGAGGTTTTGGGGCTCTTTTCGGGTCATCGAATTGGGGGGCAAGTTCAAAAACCTGCCTCTTGGGTCTTGGCAAGTCTAGAATCAATCGTTATACCATACACCATGTTGCACGTAGGATTATGCGCCTAACTGTGAAACGGTGTCGTTTTGAAATTTCACCGTTAGTGGAATTTGACGGGACGGACGCCTCTCCGTCCATCCAATCACTTTTTTTTTTTTTTAAAATATATATCTGGCATTTCTTCTTCACAAAGTCTCCATTACCACTCTCAAGCATTCAAAACCGAGCACTATTTTTCGCGAAAGACAGCAAAACCCGCAAAGTCTGAATCCTTCATCACATTCCTCTGCAAGAGCAATACATCAGCGCGAAGAAATGTGAGCATAACTAGGATTGCATAACACTATGAGTATGAAATCCAGACATTCATGATATTACTACATTATGTTAATACATCAATGTCAACTAGGGTTACATATTACTTAAACTTGTGTTTATTCTGATATAAGATTATGTGCATTAGTGTTTTCAGTTGCTATACCTCATCATAGATAACCGCTATTCTTATACTCAAAATTATGTGTATCCTGGTTATATATTATGTGTATTACTTCATAACATTATGTACATTATACATTTGCATCCCTGTAAACTTCTCAATCCCAATCTATTGTCTGTCTGGTGTTAATATTAGTGTTACCTATTACTTAGAACTGTGTTTATGTGTATATGTTATTACAGCAGTGTCAACTAGGGTTACATATTACTTAGACTTGTGTTTATTATGATATAAGATTATGTACATTAATGTTTTCAGTTGCTATACCTCATCATAGATAACCACTATTCTTATATTTAAAATTATGTGTATCCTGGTTATATATTATGTGTATTACTTCATAACATTATGTACATTATATTATACATTTGCACCCCTGTAAACTTCTCAATCCTAATCTATTGTCTGTCTGGTGTTAATATTAGTGTTACCTATTACTTAGAACTGTGTTTATGTGTATATGTTATTATAGCAGTGTCAACTAGGGTTACATATTACTTGGACTTGTGTTTATTCTGATATAAGATTATGTACATTAATGCTTTCAGTTGCTATACCTCATCATAGATAACCACTATTCTTATACTCAAAATTATGTGTATCCTGGTTATATATTATGTGTATTACTTCATAGAATTATGTACATTATACATTTGCACCCCTGTAAAATTCTCAATCCCAATCTATTGCTTGTCTGGTGTTAATATTAGTGTTACATATTACTTAGACTTGTGTTTACGTGTATTATGTTATTACAGAAATGTCAACCACTACAACCACTAATCCCCGGAGATCTCCAAGAAATAAAAATATTGCACCTACATCAACACCTCCAATCACTACTGATCCTACGCTACGAGAAATTGCCAAAGAGGGTAAACGAAGGAAAAATACTGCTACTGCATCAAAAGGTGCTGAAACAGATTCTGAACCAGCAAATGTTGAAATCAGAACAGATACCAATGATGACCCCAAGCAGCCTGCTGCAAAAAAACAAAAGACAACCCACACCTGTACAACTGCCCAACATAAAAAACCCCAAAGATGATAAGAAAGGAGGAAAAAGAAAAGAAGAAAAAACCAAAACACAGTGATTACTTGGCTTTAAGGACCTCCCCAAAGCAGCTCTGTGCACTTGTGAGCAGTTTGAGCCCGGAATAGCACCAAGCTGTTCGAGATATAGGATTTGGATCCCTTTTAAGTGCAACACTTTCTTCATATGATGGTGAACTTCTGAGATACCTTCTTGAGCGATTTGATGTTGGTAGATGCTCGATCCATATGGAAGAGGAAGAGCTCCTTCTAGGAAATGATGATGTACATTCAACACTTGGTATCCCCAAACGCCAACAGACTGTTATAGACGGTGAAGTAACGAGCAAAGACCCACAGTTCAAACACTTGGTTGCACTTTGGAGAGAACGGTGGGGTATAAAGACAGGCGCACCAACAACGAGCCAGATGCTGAATGGGATCATTGAGAGGCGTGACCATGGCGACATGTTCAAGCGTGACTTTATAATCTACACTGTTTCCACACTGATAAAAGGTTTCAAGAATATGTTTTGCAACTACAAGCTCCTCTATTCACTGCAAGATGTCAGCAAAATCAAAGACTTCAACTGGTGTGCTTACACAATAAGATCTCTTGTTGACACCACCTCATCATGGAGAAGCAAGCGTGAGGCACCCTTCACTGGGCCTGCCACTTTCCTAATGGTATGAACTTTGTATGTTGTCCTACAACTTTATGTGTATTCTTGATATATATTATGTATATTATAGTTTATAATTATGTACATTTTTTAATGAAGTTATGTGTAGTCTACTATGTCATCCTGAACATTATTAATCTGAACTAATATTAATTTTGAGTGATTTATCTTTTTTTTTTTTTCTTTTTGTTTTGTTTCTCTATTTGAAGCTGTCATACCTAGACAAGGTGCAAGTTAGAGGAGAGATAGTCAGAGGATTCCTATAATCACTTCATGGACTTCAAGCGATTTGAGAGCAAGGGTCAAGGTTGAAAGAAACATAGGCGGCTTTGGAAGGGGGAAAGTTGTTGAATACATCCCAGTTGCACAGCAGCCACCACCTCAGGAACTGCCACAAGGCCAAGAAGTTGAAAAGGTCACCAAAGCCTTGAAGAAATGACACAAGCATTATGGAGTTTGGTGAGGTTATGGCAGGGGTTGGGGCAAACACCTCTGTCATTGATATTATAAAGAATGTATTCAACAACTTATCCACCAATGCAAACCTCACGCCAAGCCCGAATCCAACCCCACCAGAGAGCCTGCTACGTGATGATGATATATACAACCACCCAAGTTTCTTGGATGCAGTTGCTGAACTTGAAGCGGCATTCATGGCTACATTGAAGAACATGTCGACTCCTGACATACCTGCACCCACATTTCATCTGCTAATGCCAATTGGCCCTGATGCTACTACACCAAACATACCCGAAGAAGCAACAACAAATGCAACTCCACACGAAACAACACCACCTCCACACGCACCAACATCAAAACCACAAGCAGCATTTGCACCAACATCAGCAGCACCCAACACACCATCACCACAAGCAATGGAAGAAAATACAACACCAATGACCCCAATTGCAACAATCTTGGAGAAGTTGGTTGATAACATAGCTGATGGGTCAACACAATCACTACCAGCCCCGGAACAACAAACTTCAGACCAAATTGAATTTGATAGGTAAAACTCACTTATCACTTAACAGTATCATTATGTGTATTTAATCTAGTAATTATGTACATTTATAGTTCAGTTTAATATCTCATCAATCATGAACCAATTGTGGTTATGTATATTGCTTTAATATTTTATGTGTATTCTACTATAATATTATGTACATTTTTAGCCTTATTAATTATTTAATCATGCTATTATGCCTATTGTTTAAAAGTTAAAACATGCTAATAATTACTTTTCTGTCTCTACAAAGCATCATGGCTGAGTCTGAAGATGAGGTTGAAGATGTCAATGCCCGGAAAAGGCCACAACGAAAATTCAAGAAGCTCCATCTGGCTTGTCGATCCCCGTATTAGACAAGCAACATTTCAAAGCTCAAAAATGTTTCAGCCAGGGAAAAACTGATATCGGACTATGCGTTCCTGCCACCAAATGAAGAGGAATACCCTTCTTTGTATATATTTCTTCTCTAACTTGTTATAATAAATGTTTTCAGTTGCTATACCTCATCATAGATAAACGCTATTCTTATACTCAAAATTATGTGTATCCTGTTATACATTATGTGTATTACTTCATAACATTATGTACATTATACAAAAAATAGATTACTTTACATTATGAACTTTAATTCCATACATGTGCATTATTTTAAGATTTCAAAACGTAATATCAACTTGTTTTGTTGATTTCCAGTGAAATGTTGTTTTCTGCCCATGATCTGTTTGCAACAAGAGAGGACTTTGCAACACTGGCAAGTGGGAAACTAGCTACCAATATTCTGCAGATGTGGGCACACAGATTGACCATGATTGATATGAAAAGAGCAGTTGATCAGCCAAAGAGGATCTTCTTCTCAGAGGCTGCTTACGTTAGTACAGGTCTTGAACTAAACATTTTTTTAAACAATGTACTATATGACACCCAACCTCTTCTTTACAGATGACGCTTGAAAAGGTTGAAATAAAAGCTAGGAATATGAATGTTGGTGACTTCTGTACAAATATTGACTACTAGTTGAGGGGGACTGCTATTGATATAACTGATGCAAGTCTTGTAAGTAAAAATAAAAAAATAAAAATCTATATACCTAAGTATATGAATTCTAAGATTATTGAATTTACTACTGTATTTGACACAATTTGTTAAATCCCTTTTAATTATTCATTTCAGGTTTTCTTTACACTCTTGAGGCACAATCAGTACTACTTAATGTGCTTTAACATCCCCAAATCAAAACTTCAGATCATTGACAACAAACTATTGCCTGAAGGAATAACAAGTAAAAACAGATATGAAAACTGCCCAGCCAAATTGGTAAGATATACTAATACTGATATTTAATATCTATAGCCTATAGTTTAATATCTACATTACTCAAATTAAGTAAACACTACAATTACTATATTCTGCAGAAAACAGCTTTCTACAAATACCTCCAAACAAAGAAAAACTCCCTTGCTAGGAAAGTCAAGAATATTGAACTGGAGTGCATTCAAATGCCATGGCAGGATGAAGAGAACACAACAGATTGTGGCGTATATTGCATGCGCCACATGGAGACTTACAAAGGGACTGAAGTAGACAAGTGGGACACTGGTTTCACGGGGGGTGGAGGGGGATAAGGATGTAAGTAATAATCAACTTTTTACACATGTTATCTCTTGTTTCTTCTTATTTTAACATCTATCTTTTTTTTTTTATTGTAGGCTGCTTTCATTACGTCACTT